GCCTGGCCAGGCACAGCCAGCAGCACCGAGGCACCTTCTGGAGCAGCCCCCAGCCCACCCCACGTCAAGAGGCCCAGCGCCCAGGAGCCCCCAGAGGCGCTTTGGCTGTGGGTGGGCTCACAGGCTCCTTGAGAGAACTTTCTCCTCCGTTCCTGTGATTAATTCCTCCCTCCCACCATGGACGCCCGCAATCGCATCTGTATCGGTAGCTCCCCACTCTTCTTCGGCTGTGAAATATTTATAACCCCCCACAGTAGGGCTCTCCTTTCTCCTCGCCTCTTTTTGCTCCTTTTATGCCTTCCACCCGGGCTCCCGGCTCTGCTGAGCCGCACTAGGAACCACTTCATTTTCATATAACTTAGAGAGCGGGGAAGCTGTGAAGAATAATTTAGATTTCGCTCAGGGAATGCAGTGCTTTTTTTAATTGCAGTCATCTGCAGCTTCTAAGCAATGTATTATTGATGGTTATTATTCAAATAAAACAGTCATTGCTTGTTTTCCCGTGGACGCAGTTGGCAGTGTTTATGGATTTCTTCTCTCTTTCTCCATTTCTGGAAGAGGTCACCTTTCATCTCGTATGCGTTCTGCCTCTGCTGCCTCTCTGCAGCTCATGCTGGGGGGCTGCAGAGCTGAGCTCTGCCCGGTGCTGCTTGGGCTGCAGAGCGATCTATGCTTTCCATCCTCTTCTTCTCACTGGAAAATACCAGCAGTGCATTGCTGGGCAGCTGACAATCAGTGCAGGGAGAGGGGAAAGGGGGGTTTGGTCACTGCACACTGGAGCTCTGTGCAAAGTACGTGGAGTGGAGGAAACGCCTGCAAACACCTATGCTAAGCCAATGCCAGTAGGAGCCCACTGCTCTCTGCCCAGCCATTCCTAGAGCTCTGGAGGCATGTTTTGGGGAGGGCCTTCTTCTCAGCTGCCTGCTCCTGACACTGCAGCACCACAGGGGGCTGTGAGGTGTCACAAAGGCACTCTGCCCTGGTCAGAGCTGCTGGCACAGCACTGTTCCCCATCCCTGGAAGGAAGGCACTGAAATAGGACTTGGAGAGCAGGACTCCTCCACTCCCCGCTCCCCCAGGAGTGACAGCTTGCAAGTGACAGTGATGCGAGCGGCTCTCCCGTGCTGTCACTTCTCCCTCCTCTCTTTCAACACTACCCACCACGTTGTCATTCCCAGCAGCAGGGACTTTCCTCAGTCCCACCGAGGTCCCGGAGGTGTTACTGTGATGCAAACACCGAGTGCGAGGTTCCTCCTCGATGTGACGAATGAAACAAGGTCAGAACCGGGGGGAAAAATGTTCATTTTGAGGTGGAGCAGAGGATCTCCCTATCTCCCTCTGACTTCCTGGGGAGGGGACAGGGGTGTCCCCAGGGCCCCAAGAGGTGGCCTTTGAGTTGCACTCACCAGTGCCATGCAGATCCCCCTAGGCATCACCATGGCTCCGAACACGGCATCCTGTTACCCTGCCCACAGGTGTCTGGGAAGGGGCAGCTCTCCCTCAGCTGTAGCAGATAATTGGGGTTTTCATCGATTCAGGGCCTGCCGTCCCTCTGGCTACAAGTGGGAAGGCGAAGGGGTGGGGAAAGGAAAAGCGACATCAGTCCCTGAGCTCCCGGGACTGAGGGCAGCCCTGAGCTCAGAGTGGAGGGTAGCCCTGAAGCACTTTGGGGACGAGTTCCTTAGGTGAGCAAACAACTTTGTCTCTTAATTGCACTCATAAAGGAGAACTGGGCCCAAATCCCTCCTGTTCCACTTGGTTTTTATTTGCAGCCCCCTCCCAACAAAGTGGCTGCTCAGTTACAAAGCAACTGTGCTGCTAGAGCAGTTGGCAGCAGAGATGGTCCAGGAGAGCTTTGGCAGTAGCGTGCCAGAGAGGCTCTGGGATTTTTCTGGCCGCCCCCTGCAGCAAGTGGGAAGCCCATGCCGTAGCTGAACAACCTACAGGCAGCTGAAGGGGAGCAACCCTGTGCCCAGGATGGGACCAGAATGGGAGCATTCTGCAGCTCCACACTGCAGCAGCACCCGGGCAGCCCCGCGTCCCTCAGGACCGACCGCCAGCAGCTCACAGCAGAACAGTGCTGGGGGTTTATTTATCCGTGAGCACTGAAAGCTGAATTGCTCTCTCTCTCTCTCCCTATATTTAGCTCTGAATGGAGAAAGATTTCACAGACGCTCTGCCTGGTGCTCAAGGCTCAGTCAGTGTTTCCATTAGAAACCCTGGGGTCCAATCCTGCTCGCTGCCTCCCGGCACAGTGACAAAACCTTCCCTGCTGACTCCAGCACAGCCACGCTGGATTTGTACCCTCAGAGATGAGATCAGGATCTGGCCTCGGGTTTTGATGGGTTTGTATCTTGGCGGATACAACTTGGCTGATTCAATTGATTTTGGGCTAAAACTCCACCTACAAGTTCCCAGCCTGGGAGACATTAAAGACAAATTATTATGAAGTTTCATACACTTTGTAAAGGAAAATTATCACTTAAGCCTATTTTTTACAGAAGAACCTGGCAGACTTATCCTTTCTATTTCAGGGTACTTTTAGGCTACACACCACTCAGGATCGCTTTCTCCTTTGCTCTCAGAATGTATGGCCAAGGAGCAGCGCTCTGTCCTCTTCAGCAAAAGAGCACCAAATCATGGCTAAGAGCAGAGGATGCCAGCCCAGCAGGGCTCCCGGCAGGAGAGGGTTTAGGAGACAGTCCTGGTCCTGAAACCTGATGCAGTCCCTCAGCTGTGAGCAGGACAGCAAGGAGGGCTGAAGGATGGGAAGAGAAGGAGGTGACGAGAAGAGGGAGCAGAGCACAGGCACTGTCCAGGCAGCGCCCGCACCTCGCAGTGGGGTTGGCTCAGCACCAGCCCAGGGCTTGGATGACCCTGAAGCTCTCTGCAGGAACTCTCTGCTTGCCCTGCATACGCACTCTGCTCACTTCTCTGTGGGGCTGTCTGACTTTCCTCCATGTGCTTTTCCTTAAATGTAAAGTGGAAGGGGCTTTCAGCCTCAGTGTTTATGGTTGCTCTTGATGTAATGGAAAAGCACCAGGCAGGAGCTGCTGAGCACCAGTGCTGTGATTGCGGGCTGACACGTTTTCCAATGGATTTTGGCTGGTTCCTTCAGCTGTGTGCAAGCTGGAACAGCCTTCCCTCAATTTCAGATGGAGCCCAACGGGGCTGCAAATTCAACAGGTTCCCCGGGGCAGGAAGGCTGATTTCCTTTGCAGAGTCCAAATCCAGATGGTCAGAGATTCCTTCCAAGATCAGAAAACCTGTTTTAAAAGGCCAGTATGTCTCAACAGCCATTCTGCATCCCATCCTTTTGGAAGCACTGTCCCTCCATCCAATTTTCAAGCTGTTCTGCAGTCACTTGAACCAAACACGGTCAGTGCAGCCCTGTGTGCTCAGGAATGGAGGACGGCTGAGTTTACTTTGAGATACGAGACTTGCTTTTGCTGCGACAATGCCCAGATTTCATAGTAAGGAACAACCAGCACCAAAGAAAACATCAGTGATGAGCCCAGGCCCCTTTCCCCTGTCCTGCTGCAGAGCATTGGAGCAGTCTGGTGCCTTCTGTGTAAAGCCCCAACGAGACACTGTGTCTGTGCCATGCCTGATGCTCTGCAGTCGTTCTGCTGATTTTGGATAACTGTCCCTGCATTGCAACCCGGGGTGGCTGCAGGGCTGCAGGGTGCCCACTGCTGCATGCAGCTGTACAGTCTGCTTGCAGAGCACTGCCCTGAGAGCTCAGCAAACAGACAAAGCACGCAGGGAGGAATCCCCTTGCTGAAGGCCCAAAGAGGAACTCCCCCCCCAGGACTGTTCAGGAATGCAGTTATTGCGGTGCAGGCCCTCAAGGCAGGGGGAAACGTTACAAGCGTTAAATAAGGGCTTGTGCACAGATGTTACACTGGTTTGACTTGAACTGGGTTGCATGCCCAAACAACAGGATTAGTGCTGACTTAAGGTTGCCTACACCCAGTGTTACACCAGCAGGGCTGCATTGATGCCTTGTTACGTTTTCCTTACAGCCACTGTGTTTCAAGGGCTTCCATTGAGTTTCAGTGCATACTTTCCTCTTTGCTTCTATAATAAAAAGGGGGAGTGGTGGCTTTTCCTGGGAGAGGGGCTGTGATTCATGCTCTGCAGCTCAAGGAGCAGCTGTAGTCCTGGGTTTCACCACCACCCCACGCTGCAGGGACAGCAGTGGCTGTGTCCTGAGTCGCAAGGTGGGGCAGACGTCCCCAGCACGTGTCACCAAACACAGTGACCACGAGGAACCCTGAGTGCTGCTCCAGGGATTTTGTGCTTCATGCTCAGGGCAGGGAAGACTTTTTGTGCATCCTGTTTTGCAGTGACCACACTACCAGAGGAGGTCCCAGCTGCATGCATCATGGGGAGCAACCTATACTGCTTGAGGGAATTTGCACCACCCCAGCAGGGGCTGCAGCACAAGCAGAAGGGGGATACCCAGATTTTGGGGGTACAGGCACTGTTCTGCACCCGCAATGCCAGGGGTGGGGCATAGAGTGCTTGGGGGCACACCACTCAAGGGGAGACCCACAGTGCAGGGAGTGCACGCAGTGCTGCCCTGCAGCTGCTCCTCCTGGAGGTACACCTCTACAGCTCAAGGTGGGCACGCACGGACCACAGTGCTTGGAGGGGAGGTCCACTGTCCCCAAGGATGCGGTGCGCTTTTGGCTGCTCCACAAGGGTGACACTGCACAGACACGCACCTCCCGGGGGTACATCTGGGCTGCTCAGAGGGGGGTTGGGGGAAGGGGTGGTGCTTCTGGGGAGGCCCATAACGTATGGAGGTACACGTACCAACAACGGGGTTCACCTGTACTACCCGACGGGGGTTCCTGGGGGAGAGGGGTGGTGTCCGCGCGGTACCCGATATCGCCCGAGGGGGCTCCCACACCACAGCGCCCGCGGGACACAGCCCCACCCGCCGCCTCCCGTCCCCCTTAAGCAGCGGACGGGGCGGGCCGCCACCTTAAGGCAGCCCCTCCCCCGGCAGGCCCGGCCCGGCGCGGGTTGCCATGACAAGCATTTTCTCCCGCTAGCTCCGCAGCCGTCACCGCCCTCCTTATGGCCGCGCGCGGGGGCTCCGCCGACAGCCGGGACGGGGCGCCGCGCCGGTGAGTGCGGGACCGTGGCGGGGGGAGTTTGTTCCCGGGTGCCCCCTCGGGTGGGGCGGGCGGAGGCGGCCGTGCTGCCTTCGATGTTCCGTTGGGGGGGGCGGCCCGCGGAAGGAGCGCGCGGCTTTCGCCTTCCATAACGCCGCAGCTGCTGCGGGGTCGTTTGTTGGAGGGGGGGGGAGTGCCGTCGGTTGGGTGCACGGGAGCGGTGCGGCAGGTGGGAGGGAGCGGCGGGGACTGGGGATCCTTCTCCCATCGGAACTTGGGGAGCGCGGGGGCCGCGCGCATACCCCAGATTCGAGTGGAGCGCGGAGCGGTTTGGGGGGCCGCCGTGACACCCTGGGTCTGTGCGAACCCGGAGGGGTCGGTGAGGAAGGGGGAGCGCTCCAGCTGTAACCGCCACCGCCACTTGTTGCTGCCCCTGGGGAAAGGAGGAGCGGGGGGGGCTGCCGCGGCGTTCCCGCGTGGCAGAGCGGCGTGGGGGGGGTGGAAGGGGAGGGGGAGAGGGCAGGCACGGCTCGTGGACGCGGCCGCGGCCGGAGGGAAGGGCAGAGCAACGCGGGCTGCGGGGCTGGAGGGGGGAGCGCCTTGCGGCAGCCCGAGGGCAGCGCCGGGAGGTACCGCAGGGGCGGCTCCCCCTCAGCCCGGGGCAGGAGCCGCTCCCAGCCTGCGGCAGCGCCGGGCGGGGCGCGGGTTGCGGTCACGGCCCGGGCCGCGGGGCTGCACGGCCCCCCTCTTCCTGGTCGTTCTGGATGCGGGCGGGGAGGGAGCGGGGGGCAGGGACAATGGGTTATTGTCCTCTTATCTCCGGAGACCTGAGGGCGGGGGGGGGGGGGGGGGAGGGTGCTCGGCTCGCAGACCTGTTTGCGCCGCGGGGCGGGGCGGGGGCACCTCTCTGCATTCTCCCCCCGCCCCCAAACGGGCGCAGCTCTCCCGGTAAGCGCTCGCGTCGGATGATGCGTCCGCTGCGCTCAACCTGAGCGCCGAAACGCACCTGAATCGTTAAACAGTGAACGGGAGGGGCTGACACCCCCGCCTCCCCCCGCTCCCAGCCCGGCGCCGTCCTGCGGTGTCCGTCCCCGAGCGCTGCCCCGCGGGGTGCTGCCTCCCCCGAGCCGCCCGCCGCCGTGCGGGGCTCTGCGCTCCGCGGCGCTCTGCGCTGAGCATCGCCGTATCCCCTCGTGCGGCGCTCCGGCCCCGTGCTGAGCGGCTGCGGGGAGGGACGGCTTCGCTCTGCCATTGTTGTGCGGCAGAAAGCGGTGGGGTGGAGCCGTGTGTGAGGAATTCCCCCTTCCCCGAGGCCTTCCCTGGCTGCTGAGATGCCCCGGGAGCTGCTTGCACACTCTCAGCTTCCCTTTAGTTCCCTGCATTCTCTCTGATTGTCTCTCCCTCTTTTTTTTTTTTTTTTTTTTAATTAATTAATCGACGTGTATATAAATACATCCGCGTGTGTATGCATGTATATAATTTATTTTCTCCTTGCTATGCTGTGAGCACAGTTTGCTCGTAGCATTTCCACTGCCTGTTGCTGCAGTGCTGTGAGCTGCCTGCAGGGATCTGCTGCCCTGTGCTGCAGGCACCGCTGCTGCTGGCTGCTCCCCTTCTACAGCTCCACTCCAGGGCTTGCTCCAGTCCGGATCCCTCCCTGCTGTGTTCTGCAAATCCTTGCTGCTCTCTGAGCCTTCTGGAAGATGTGCTGCTCAGCATGGCTGGGGCAATGGATGCAGGTCTATAGGGGTGGCTGCTGCAGTGCAAGGAGGTGATGCTGCCTCCCAAATTCCTCCGCCTTGTTGGAGGCTTCTGGATTGGATCCCGGGGATGCGGTGTGAGCACAGGATGCTGATGCCTGATGTTGAGGTGGATGGAGGCAGTGGTGTCTCTTCTGTTGTACAGGTGCATGGAAGGGGAAATAAATGGGTCTGGGTGAGCAGGGAGATGGAGTGCATCCCTCTTTCACCAAGGCGATGAGGACCCATCGTGTGCTTCTGGTGTTGTGGTAATGGAGATGTGCCTGGGGTAAGCAGCTCTGGGCTTTGGGCTTAAGTAGGAGGAGGATGGGATACATCTCTGCATCCCTGCTTGCAGGATTGGTGTGTGCAGAGCTCCTGCAGCAAGGAGGGATTGAAGCCCCAGCCTGGGGCTCCTGGCTCTTTGTGCCTGGTGTGGGGCTGTGCAGGAGCTGCATCCCTGCCACCTCCTGTTGGAGCTTCCTGAGCTGGTGAGACATCCCACTTTGATGTTTTAATGAGTTGCTTTTGGCTTTAATGCAGAAGGATAATAGAGTTTCCATGGTCTTATAAATCCTTACTCCTATATTTGCTTGTTGGAAAAGGGGGAGGGAAGGGGAAAAGAAAAAAAAATTAAAAGGGAAGAAAGGAAACGCCTGGCACTTGTGGAGTGTGTGACACTGCTGGTGTGTCACTCACCTGTGTCGCTCACCGGGACTCCCTGACACTCACTGAGCTCACCGAGTAAGGGCTGTGCTGTGTCCTGCTGCCCTGGGGAGCTGCTGAGCTTCACCTGCAGGAGGCTGAGGTGTGGGTCGTGGGGCAGGAGCATCCCTATAGCACATGCAGACGGACGCAGGGGTGGTGGTGTGGCGTGCGGGGTGTGGAGGTTTGGCTGTGGTTTTTGCTGATGGGGAAACTTTTCCTTCTGTGGCAGGGATGAGTCGGCAGCGGGCTGGGAACCAGCAGAGCTCTGGCATCCGCAGGCTGACAGAGTGGAAATTTGTCCCTTTATTATTTTCAATGCCAAAAGTGTGTATTCCCACCTACTGAATGATCTGGATGGGGTGAGCAGTGGGTGGAAGCCCTACCTGTAAGAGTTTGTCCGGCAGGGAGGAGGGATCCTTGCCTGCTCCCTCCCAAGCGTGGCACAGCGCTGTCCCACTCCTGTCCACGCTGCTCTGCCACCTCCCAGGCTGCTGCTGTCTTCTTGGATGCACAAAGGTCAGCGCGGCGCCCAGAGCTGGCAGTGCAGCGGAGCCCTGTGCTGCAGGTCCTGACCCCAGCATCCTCCTCCTCCTCCATAGGCAAAGGAAGGCTTGGTGCTGAGCCGTGCTGAGGTTTGGATGGGAGCTGAGGGGATCCATTCAGGCTCGTTCTGATTGGGAACCGGCAGCAAAGCTCCAGCTTTCCTTCGGCTAAAAATAAGCTGGTGGGGCCGGGGGGGCTGTGGGATGGATCAGCCCTGCTGGGGGGTCTGGCTGGGGCTCACTGTGACCTTTGCTCTTTGAACGCTGGATCTGCTGGTCAGGTTTGCAGCTCCAGGCTCAGATTTCGGGTAGAAGGTGTCTGATTTTCAGCGCGGTTTCCTGTGATGGTCGTTAGGGACCCTGAGCTTAGCTGTCCCTTCCGCTCTGCTCCTGGCTCTGCAGCCGGGGCTCGCACAAGGCTCTGTTTGCTCCATCTGAAATGCCCATGTCCTGTCCCAGCCCTCCTGCAGGCAGAGTGCTATCCCTGCTGTTGAAATCCCTCTTCCCACCTCCTTGCAAGCTGCTCTGGAGTTACCCTGCGTTGTCAGAGTGCTTCGTTTGTTCCAAGCAGATCTCTGGCTGCAGCTCGCTGATGCTTTCAGCTGATGGTGGGAAAGCTGCTCTGGTGCTCGTGCTGTCGCTCAGGCTGTCACTGCTGTGGGCAGTGGGATGTGAGGACCGGCGTGGGGATGGCACTGTTCTTGAGCACCTGATGGATTGTGTGCTCTGTCTTGGGTGTCTTTGTGCAGATGTGGTTCTGTGTCAGCGCTGGAAGTCACGCAGGGCTGCTGCTGCTCCTCGCATTGCACGGGCTGTCTCCGTGACCCAAAGCTGCCGTGTCCCAGGCTGTGCTACAAGCTGTGAAGCTGCCTGGCTGTGCTCTGCAGGGTGATGGTGCCAGCTATTTTTAGGTGTCAGGACTCAGCTTGGCTAAATGATGTCTTTTGAGTTTTATTTGAGGGAGGAGGGGTGAGGTGTCGTTATTTCCCAAATGACGAATTGCTTGTAATGCTGATCCCAATGGGACCAGCCAAAAGCGAAGGGGCCAAAGCAGCTGACTGCACTCCAGCAGCATTGCCTTGTTGGAGGGTGCTCGACTGTGCAACCCATGGGGAATTCTTCCCCATCCCGTTGCCCATTTCCATGTGCTTGGGATGCTCTGTGCCCCCTGGTGTCACCTCATCCAGGCATCCTACCCCACATGCACCAGGTTGGAGGTGCAGGTGGGTGGCATCCCTTTGTTTCTCCTTCCCGCAGCATCTGCCCGTTGCTCTGCAGGGCAGCAGGCAGGGGTTCCTCTAACTCCTGCAGTTGGACGTGAAATGCATCACATCCACATGAGATGCTGCAGCTTGTGCTGCTGCAGCACAGGGGGAACTTGTGCTGCGCTCCCCAGGCAGACGCTGCAGGGCTTGTGGTGCTTCCCGTGCCGTCTGATGCTTTGCTTCAGGGGATGTCCCTTTTCCCTTTGGAAAGAACACTGAGGGATCCTCCCTTCCTCCTGCCGCTTCCCTGGATGCAGCTGTCTGCATGGAGCAGCCTCGCTGTTCCTCAGCCCTGCAGTATCTCCTGACATCCTGCTGCCAAGAAGGGACCCAGGGAAGCACGCTGCCCAGAGCCTGTCTGCACACAGAAGGGCAGTGAGGAGGACAAGGATGCCTCATACACCCCAGTATCACGCTCACGGAGCTGCCTGCTTTGTTCTAGGTTGCTTTGTGCCTGCTGCTGCAGCAGTCTTCTGCCCTCTCACTGCTCTCCCTGGGTTGGAGCCCACCGGTATGGCTGTCTGTGGGGGTTGGGTGCTGGCCACAGTCTGCTGAGCACAGAGCAGTCCGTGCCTGGCTGTCACCTCGTGTGACCCTGCGGTCACAGAGCAGTGTTTGGTAGCTGGATCTGAGCTTGCAGGGGCGCAGCTTGCTGGGGGCTTTGGTGCACAGATGTGTGGGTTTCTTCCCTACTCAGCCTACGGCTGGATGGGGGATGCAGGAGGAGGGGGTGCCCCAAACATCAGTTTCCCATTCTT